TTGAATGCATTAAGCTCTTCGAAATCGAAATACATAATAGAAAATAGAAATACAAGATTTTAAAATTGAATATATAGCCTAACATTTGAGTGCTTTTGATTGAATCTATATATCATCGTACGTGTCAAAATTAGGTAATTAAGTTGGCCCATTACAGACGAGTTAGGTCTAAATCCGTGTTGAATTTTAGGTAAATTTGCTTGAGTTTCAATGGTTTAGAACGCAATCAAAACGTTATATTAAGAAAGCTTTTAATTTCGCTACGTAATCTATTAACATTTTTTTTATTTTCTTTTAGAAGGAGAATTTGGTAGCCTGCCTTTGAGATGTTGAAACTTGGAAGAATTCATGCAGTGATTTGACCCATTCAATATTATGATCATTTTTTCTGTTATTTCAATCCAAAAGTTGTGATTAAATTCAAGGACGTTTATCAATTACTGTTTGATGATTAAGATGTAGATATATTCCAAATAGGAAGAAAGGGACATTCATCTTGGGTTTTTGTGTAAATTCAAGGTTTATCTATTATTATATTTGTTAAATATTGCTTTCCTCTTTGATTGACGTGAAGGGAAAAATGTCTAGTGATGACAAAGTAATAGAGCTTTGATTATTAGAAACCAATGATTGGAAGAACAATTTTTCAAAACGGACTGATTTTTTTTTTTTTTTTCAAAACCGACTGTTTTTTTTTTTATTTATCAAAATCGACCCGGTTTTGTGATTAGGCTGCTAATCACTATCCTAAATAGTCGGGGTTGGCAACCCCGACTATTTAGGAGGGTGTTAAACCCTAATTAAAGGGTGATTAGCAGGTTAATCACTATCCTAAATAGTCGGGGTTGCCAACCCCGACTATTTAGGATAGTGATTAGCCTGCTAATCACAAAACCGGGTCGATTTTGATAAATAAAAAAAAAACAGTCGGTTTTGAAAAAAAAAAAAAATTTCAGTCGGTTTTGAAAAATTGTTCATGATTGGAAACATAAGAAAAAATCCGTTAGAAATGGTGTGAAAATTTTGCACGTACTCCATATGATACATTTTATAAGAAATGTATTCATTTCATGTAAATATACTTTTTTTTCATACAGAGAATGTTCTCTAAAAGTTTGTACTGGAGAGTTTGGCATGAATTCTCAAATAAAAAAAAAAATCAGAAAAAAACTTTAAGTTTAGGCAATTACAATAACTCTGCTTCTCATGTTGATTAAATATATGCTACAAGTATGGCAATTTTTTATATTTTTACATGATAAAGTGCTAAACTGCTGAGAACAGTATTTTTCCAATGGCTACAAGATCATGCAACTTGCATCGCGTCATATCCCCCTTTTTATTATCAAACAATAGTGATTTCTAATGAGATAAGTTGGTGTATGTGACGTTAGTTAGAAAATCAAATTGCTTTAAATTATTCAACAAGATGCGTATAACGTCTAATTAAAATTTATTATAATAAATTACATCAATGTATACTTGGAATAAGACATGCTAGCAACCAAAAAAGGATAAGTTTCTGCAATATATTATTTTAATTTCGTATAACCCCTTGAAGGAAAAAATTGAATTAGTATTGTATTAATTTGATTAAATACCAATTCATATGCCCAAGTTGTTAAGTGAACCATCAAGTGTTTATATATTCTGAGACAATTTATCAATACAAAACGATTTCAATGTCAACATATTTTTTATAACTATAATAAATTTATTGTTTATCAACAACTAAGCCAAAAAGCAGTAAAGTAAATGAGTATGGTATGAAAGCCGCATCTGAAAATTTGACAATTTGAGATGCTCCTTAAAATAAAAGGCCAACAACCAAAGAAAATCATAAGAAATCTACCAATCAATTTTTCACAGCAAACTATAATAAATCCTCAAATTGTAATTATTTAACCAGTTATCAAAGAGGGTTTAACTGTTGATGAAATCATTGGATAGACTTTGAATTAGGCAAAAAAATACGAAAGCTAATGAGCATACAAACTCAAATTGGATCCAGTTGAGTCAAGTCTAGGTGATGTTTGGCCACCTCCTTGAGTCTAGTTAGAAAAAAGATCAGAAGTAAGCTTTTTCTTGTCCAAGTAAAACACGTGGAACCAAATATTAACAAAGTTGCATGTAAGCCCATCACGGTGCAAGTAATGAATGGAACCAATCTCCCATCAACAACCTTTTCCACCTTTGCACCTGCATACGTCTCACTCATAGCACGCATGGGAAATATAAGCAAATAAGTTTTTTATCATGTTAAAATCCCCGCCCATTATATCAAAACTTTAAAGTTGTGATCGGTCACAGTTTTATATCACCTTGAACCCTCTAATTTTATATCACGTTAAACGCTCTCCCACCGCACGAGAACTCCGAAATTTGTGGGGCATTGATGATTATACTTTTTATTCTCCAAAAAGCATATGAAATAGGAAGCAGATGAAGACTTGACAAACATGATCCATTCTAGAGTCTAGATATTAGGTGCAAGGAACATAATAGATTCACCAAATACTACTCCACACTCCCAACTTGACACAATACAACGTTATATAATGATGAGAATTTCTTGTGCACAATTCATAGTGACTTGAGTGCTTCAGCATGGTGGCGAATGTGATCATCGATGAAGGTCGCAATGAAATAGTAGGAATGATCGTAGCCAGGCTGCATCCTGAGGGTTACAGGAGCACCTGCTTTCTTGCAGGCATCCTCCAAGTTTCGTGGAAGAAGCTGATCTGACAGAAACTTGTCGTCCCCGCCCTGTCATCAGCCACAGCATCGTAAGTTTCATGATGATCGAATGATGTGGGAATATGGAGAAGTAGAAAGTTGTATAATGCATCTGGGTAAATTTCATAGAACCCCCAAGAAGTTTTGGTCATTTTGTGATAACCCCAAAAGTTTGAAAATATAACTTAACCCTCAAAACTTTTGCATTTTCCTCCATCTATTTTCAAATGACCCCCAACTTTTAGGGGTTATTTGAAAAAGTTTTGGAGGTTAAATGATATTTCCAAACTTGTTGGGAGTTAATCTCAAAATAGGCCAAATTTCTTGCGTTTTTTTGTGAGATTTCCCCTATTTTTATCTTCGTGAGGCGAGAGTATAGGAAATGAGATGGTTGTTTCATTAACCAAATATGTGAAAAGAAGGTAACTTTTGAGTTTTGAGAAATCAATGTACTAAAGTTATTCCATTTCATAGAAACCATGGACATAATCCTGAATATTTGGAGAAAGAATAGTTGACTTAAACTGGTGTTTGTATTAGATAAAGGGTAATTACCATGAAACACCCTTCATGTTTGGCCACTACGAAATCCCCTACTGTTAATTTTTCTATTATAGAACCCCCAGCCATTAATTTACTGTTAAGCTCTCCTTAAAAGAGCATGTGTATGTCATATGAAAATTTACTTCCCTAAACTGCCCTCTTTATTCTTCTTCTTAACAAAATTTCCTTTCCTTATTTCAATTTAAACCAGCAAGAGCTTAACTTTAAAGTGAAATACACGAGTCTCCAGGCTTCTATGTGTGATGTTTTTATTCCGAGGGAAGTATATTTTACTTGTTAGAGAAAGAAGACATATTTGTGCTGTAGTTTCTGCTTTCCGACTTAATTATTTGGGTTGACAAATTTAGTCAATGCTGTACAATCTATCATCCACATTTACACAGTTTATATTTTTACTTTTTATGCATAAATGATAGTATTTTGAAACAACTGGTAGTTTGAGGTTAATTATAAGGCCCAACAAATTACATGCAACTGGGCTAATCATCCAAATTAATGAGACTTCTATCTTTTTCTCATGTTTGATTTTGTACATTATTTAAGAATAATGAAATGCAAGTGTCTTCTTAACTAAAGTTCATTCAAACATTTTAGCGAGCATGTATTGTTCATGAACAAAATCATTTTTCTTTGGGAAATAAAACGAAGAATATCCTTTTAGTCTTACAGTGGACACCATCCATAAATAACAATGTACGGAAGTCTAACAAAACTTTCAAAATGAATAAAACAAAAGAATAACCACCAACAGCCTTCTTCATAGGACGAACACAGACCTAAAATTGCACCAAAATAAACCCAAACAAAATCATTGGAAGAGATTCTTAGAAACTTTGACTTGTTTAAGAAACTACAAAAGTTTGTCACCAGCTTGGTTTGATTTGAAGAAATAATAGATGGGTTCTATAACAGTTTGAGAAAGCAAGGGACTATTGGAGGATGATTGAGAGAAATAAACATGCACGTGCCTTGCACGTGGTTTAAATAAAACTTGACAGTACAATTAAAAACAGGGGGTCCTATAATAATGTTAGGAGATTTCTCATAAATAGCCAAACATGAAGGAGATTCATGACAATTATCCTTAGACATGCTTGTATGTGTGAGCACGCGCTAATAAGTGTAAACTTGAAGGGGCGTTCATGACAATCATCCTTAAACACGTCTGCATGCGCACGCTAATAAGTGGCAATATGAAGGGGTTTCATGTTAATACCCCTAAATATAAATATATGTGTGTGCACTGGCGTGCTTGTGTCTCTCTATAGTGGATATGAGTCGCCACCTCATTTAGCAAAATAAACACTCAATAGATAGGAGTGATGAGGCTCACCTTCTATGATGTGACTAGCATTGTGTGCCTCACCCTACCGTAACTCTTAGTATCTCATTTGGCTAAATTAACACCACCTCATATCACACACACACTAAACATATAATATAGAAGAATGCTGAAAAGTTGCTTTCTGGCTGCTAAGAGAACCAAATAAACCTACTACCTGAAGGAAGGCCACCAGACCTGCCATATTACAGAATGAGTCAAAAGGAGAATACTTTCTTACAAGACCAGATAGAAGACTTGTTGAGAAAAGGATGATTTAGAAATGTAGGAGTCCAATAGCTGTTCCCACTTCGCTAAGCCCGGAAAATAATGGTAGTCGGAGGACCACCTATTGACAGTAAAGCCAATGACAAGATTACAGTCGTATACCAATTCTCATTCCTTGGCTAGAAGATATATTGGATAATTTTGAGGGTTCAAGTTGTTATCAAGAAGTTGATTTGAGGACTCATTACCACCAGATTCACATCTGACCTTTGAATGAGGAGAAGGCAGCTTTCAAGACAAAGGATGGTTTGTATATCAGTTAAGAAGGCACAAAGACTTGTGAATATGGGACAAGTTTAAAGATTTAACAACAAAAATGTCGGACTATCAATAGACTTGATTTGTAAAATAATAGCTTACTGCAAACGCAAATCATTTACATGCAAATATGTGTAAAATATTGATACTGCAATTATTCTTACCTGGTCAATTAGGATAGGAGTTGAGATTTTGTTGTACTTTGCAATCAGGCAGGTGGCATCATACTCCTGAAATCAATAATTAAGTATCAGTAATTATATGAGCAAAATGTTGGATACATTTCTGATGGAACTAAACCCTCAAAAGAGAAAGTTATCATAGTAAGCTTACCTCCCAGTCTGACTTGTTGTCCCCTAAATAGTTTGAGAAAGCTTTCTTCCCCCAAGGGCAGTTTATAGGATTGACAATAGGCGAAAAGGCAGATGCTGACTAAAAAAGGGGGCAAGTTATGAGAAGTTTTTTCATCAAAAAAATTTTGACATGTAAGCAAATACAAAGTTTATCAGACGGTTAGCAGATTAATTTGCAGGACTAAGAAATTTAAACAGAACAAAGCACCTTGTACTTGTCAAGGTTCTTCAAATAGATTGTAAGTGCTCCATGCCCACCCATTGAATGCCCAAAAATGGAAGCTCGTGATGTGTCAAGTTGTTCGAAGGTTTCGCTGATAAGTTTTGGTAATTCCTTCACAACATAGTCATACATTCTCCAGTTCTTCCACTTATCAACTTTAGCGTTTAGATAAAATCCAGCTCCTGGTAGAGACAATAAAAGACTGGCGTTACCTAATCAACACACAACAGCTACAGATATATTCCAAATTTTATTACGCACATTACAGGGAAATCCAGACTATGATCAAATCCAGAGTTAAACTCGAGCAGCAATCTCATCTTTCTCGATTAGACAATTATCGGAAAAAGAAGAACAGAGGCAACAGAATGTGAAAATAGAAGCAAGCAGATGCACCTTCAATAAAAAGGGAGTAAATAAAAACTTCATATTTCAAGTTTTATGACAAATAAATTTACTTATCTTGGGATATATAAATGATTCATATACTAATCATAATCTTGTTTCTTTTAGAACTAGCATGGTTTCTTGATGCATATGATTTCTGAAGTATCCTTTGTCGCAAAACACTTTAACTAACACCAATTCCTAAAGGATTGACATTTTAGCATGGACCACAGTTGCATGGAACCCAGTTCGTTCCGGTTCACGGGACGGGTATGGGAGCATGGTACTCCACTCATTAGGAATCAGGTATTAGGGGGTAGGCTTATATGGTACGCCATGGAACGTTATACATTTAAGGTTCGGTTCTTAAAGGTCGAGATCAGAGGTTTCACCAGAGGCAGATTTAAGTAATATGTTAGTTGGTATCAATAATGGGAAAAGAACCTTGAGAATCATGTTGCAATTAAGGTGTGTATATTTTATTTGTTTAATTTTTCACCTTTTTCGTTGCTTAAAAGAGTTATTATATGAATTCTAAATCAGTTTGCCCGAGTTGGTGAATCAGTTCGTGTTCCATTGTGAATTGGGAACGATTGAATCCAGGTCGTGGTTCACTATAGCATCGCATGTCCCCGACTTCTATGGTCTGGACAATAAAATCGTAACTCACAACTAGCTGAGAGTCAAATTTTAGCATGTATAACCTTCATAATTCCCCATTAGCTATTCATGAACAAGTGCAGTTCTGAGAAGCAGACTGCAGTATGGTTTCAAAATGATACCATCGACGACTATTTGATACAGCACAGACAAGAAGACTGGGATAAATCAAATAGAAAAGTATAAATTATCATCCTGTTGGTTATGACATGGCCAAGACATCGTAATGAGGAAGAGTTTTTTTTCATTATTTTTGGTAATATCGGTAGCAAGAAAAATATAACGTTAACTCGCCATAGAACATAAATTTACATTGAACTAATAGGATTATTGCTCTTCATCTCCAACGGAGATAATTAATTTGACATCACTTCTTATCCAAGAACAAGTATAATGCTTGAATTTGATAGATCACTACTTCTATACAAAGACCTAGGCTCTAAAATGGAAGAGAATTCATGTTTTAACATGTGCAATTTGTACAGAAAGATGCATATAACAATGCAGCAAATGTGTCTGAGAAGTGATTGATAAAAAGTTAGGCTCTTGAGGAAGAAAACATGTTATAAAATTGAGATACATTAATGATTTTGCGTCCAATATGTCTCTAAGGAGTGTCCAAGATGTGAGTGTCAGAGATGTGTCCAACATGGACATTGCTTAATGATTAAAGTACACAATTAGAAGCTAACAAATTTAAGTTATTTTCCCAGAAAGTCTCATAAAACTAAGACTTCGTAGAACTTAGGCCAGAAAAACCTTGAGTTATAGATTTTGAAGAGCCAGTTTGTTTCTTTTCCTATTTGTATGTCAGACTTGTCTTGGAGTTCTTCCTTTCACTAGATGCTGCAGAGATCATCAGAAACTGAAGCAGCACCTTTCAGTAAGGTAGGGTTAAATTTATCCATTGAAAATCTTTCATAACCTATGTTGCACAGGTATGGGTGCGGCCCGTGCGGGTGCTGACACGAACACCAGTGCTAATATGGGATATGACAATTTCTACATATATTTACACATACTGAATTTAATAATTTATAAAGATCAATATTTTTTTCCCCATTCACATGTAATGAGAACTGAAATCCCTATAGCAATTTATATACATTTTATTGAGCAAATTAAATTGAAAACCCACTCTCTTTTGAACTAGAATCAAAATGATCCTTCAAAATCATACTTATGGGATAAGATGAATCTGACCCCAGTCCAATGAGTTGCGGAAATTTGAGGTGAAGTGTAAGTTATATGCCCAAGAAGTGTATAACGAGTGTTTTAAACATGAATTATATAATTGAGTACACGTCTAAATAAATGCATCTATGTATATATACTCAAGAATGTGAAGTGTCGGACATGAATATGGGAGCCCAGATGAAGTGTCTAGGTAACCTCGCTCATAACAAACATTTGTGTTGTCCTTAAGGATTGAAAAGTTTGCAGAAACCAAATCCTTAATGCTAAGGTCCGAAAAATCAAACCCCTAATGCTCAAGTTCAAATGGCTATACGCTGTATTGATATTTATGGGTATATGACTACATTCGATGGCATTCCCATTTGTACAAAAGTTCTGCACCCTCCCAACATGAATCGGTACAATGTTGTCAGAAAGCACACCCAAAAGGCTATGTGTTGCCCTTTGGGAGTTGAAGAGGACTGATTTTCTGCTCGTACCACAACACTGAGAGATCGTTATAGTACATTCGACATGCTCATCTTGAAGAGGATTTTTTCTTTTTTCTTTTTTTTTTTTTTTTTTTTGGGGGGGGGGGGGGGGGTGGGTGTACACAGCATGTTGACTGCAGCCGCCCAAGACATATTTTACTTAATGGAAGATAGTATCCTCTACCCTGTGGATCATTGGAACAGTATTATTTATCCTCCAAAAACATACTTCCTTTTGCCAGGACAAAAGTCTGGTTGAATTGTCTTCCACCGTCCTGTACAACTATGAGAACTGTCTGAAAGCACACAGAGATACTTGTATAGTCTCTTGACATTTAGAGCTTCGAACCAAATTTATGACTTTATTAGTGTTATATTTAAGCCAATTGGATCTTGCAGGCATTAGAATAGAAACATCAATGCGCAAAAATGGACAAGCTACATGAAATGATGTATTGACAAAAATCTAAAGAATTTTATTTCAACAAACTCAATTTTATCTGCAGAGAATGGCCTGGTAATTAACCAAGTAGCTAACCATGTTGAGCATGTCTAGTCTCTAGAAAGACATAAATCAAATATAAGTTAAAATACAGGCGACATAAAACTTAAAAAAATGTCATGGTACATAATCTAAGAAATAAGGTCAGCATGCAAAAGACAAGACTTTAAAAGACAGGCCACATAAAACTTAAAAAATGTCATGGTACATAATCTAAGAAATAAGGTCAGCATGCAAAAGACAAGAATTCGAAGAGGGCCAGCTATATACTTTATAAATCATGCATACTCTGATATCCTTTACAAGACAGCTTAGAAACATGCTTTATGGGCTATAATATTAGAAAACCGAGGAAAAAAAATATCTACAGATGTTGGATAAAGGGACGCTAGATCACTTATAACATGCTAAAAATAGGATTTAAGAAAAAAAAGTTTGTACAAAAAAGAAGAAGAAATGTTTACCGTTTTGGCATTGATACGAAGAAGTTAGAGATATGTCTAATTGAGAATGTAAATAGGGGAGAATAAAAGTGTTTAGGCATGTCATTGGAGGCTGGTAAGTACACTACTTACAAGAGTGAGAATTGCTCTTGATTACATCATTACATGGTACCAGGGAAGAAGTGCCACAGGTTTGTTAGGAAATTTTTTAGGTTTGTTAAGAAAATTTTTTCCTTAAAAAACAAAGACATACAAACAAGTGGAGATCATTGAGCATATAATGATATAAATCCACCAAAGCTCAAAAAAGGTCACTAATTCCAACATACCATTCACAGGCACCGTTCATGATACCCAGTAGAGTGACACATTTTTCAAATTTATTATCCTGTTATTCTATATTTAAACATAAAGAATAATTCTGATTGTCTTTTGAGTTTTTAGTGTCTATAGGCTAAAAGCTTCGATTAAAAAGAATTGGTTTTTAAGTACTACATTAACAGAGTAGTGACCTTTTTAGTCATGACCCCATGGTGAAGATTAAAGGACCATTATATATCATTCCATGGTGCAGATTCATAAAGCAAACACGCTTCCGAGAACCAAGTGCACGCTGCAACTTCGATTAAAAAAAGAATTGGCTATATAATGCCTAATGTATAAAATTAACATATTGACAATTTTTCTCACAGAGAAAGGTAGTAGCAATGTAAGATAAAGCGTATAAAATCAATAACATAATTCAATAGCTTAGAACCTTAAGCATGATCTCAACAGCATTGTTCTATGTCACTAACTTCAATTTAGCATCTACACAGGAGCGAGATTAAGTTCTAAGAGAGAGTTCAGTTCATTTTAATAGCGTGTGTCATGGAATATTCAAGGTTAGTCCTTGCATAGTGAAGCAAACTCGATTCTACTGATAACTGATACTGGTCATTAACCAAAAATCAAACTAATAAATTCCATACCTACACCAAAATCCCAGCTATCTGCTTCTCCTTCAACATTAAGCCCCCCTGCATCGATCCAAAGGAAAAAAAAGGAAAACAGTAACTACCAACAGTTCTATCAAAACCCATTTGCAAAAAAAAACATAAAAATCTGATAAATTACTTGGAGATGTATCAGGAGCAATCAAAGCAACGCCATGAGCAGCAGCAGCCCTTTGAGCCCCAGACTTCATGATAAAGTTCTCATCAGTGCAAGTGAGCCCAGATAACCAGTAAAGAACCTGCAAACGATGATCATATCAAAAACCCAGATCAAAATAGAGCAAAAATCGATCAAAATGGATGGATTGAGAAATCTTTACTGGGGTTTTTTGGGAAGGGGGAGAAGGGGGAAAGTAGATGGAGAAGGTCATGGAGCAGTTGAGGGTTGGGCTGAAATGCTTGTATCTCTTGTTGTAGCCATTGAACATCTTCGAGCTGCTGATCTCTGTGGGTTTCTCCGCCATTGATCGCTGCTGTTGCTTGGCTCTCGATGATGATGATGAGGACTGAGAGTGAAGAGGAATCCGAGATCAAAACCGGACCTTAAAGCTTTCCATATTTCCTTAATTTATTTTGTGGGCTGGGCTTTCTGGGCCGCATTGAACTCTTCCTCTTTGAAACCAGCCTTAAAATTGGAAAATCCCCTTTTAAAAGCCACATTTGATTACCATATATACATAAACCGCGTTTAAATTATTGTTTGATGCAATGCGTACTTTTTAATTAAGGTTAATTGACCTCACCTGACATCTACTAAGAGTCATCTATCTAATATACTTGATGTTTGATCTTTACAGCAACACCGAAAATTTTTAATGAAATAGCGAGTCTATGTTGTTGATTGCAACAAATTTTTTTTAAGGATGATCTTTGTATAAATTGATACTCAATGTGATTTCTGTAGAATGTCCCTATTTTTAATTGAAGTTTCTAAGAAAAAACAATGTTTATGGTTGTCTTTGCTATCTCTGCGACGAGGCTGCTCGGATCTCTGAAAAATGTATTGGCATCAATTCCTTTTTTTTTTTCATTAGACACATTTGTTTCTTTAGAGGATCATTTGGTTGCCAAATGTATATAAGTGTTAAGAGAGAGTAATCATTCAGTTAATGAGTAGTGATAATTACTCTATAATAATTTGTGCACTACTTCTAGACAATGCTGAGGTGGCAGTGCTTAGGTGCACCATATTAATTGCCTATTTTAGTCGAAAATGAAAATGAAGCTGAGAAAAGTTTCTTTCCTGAAAAGTCTCTTCATCTACTACCTCTTCTTCCTCTTTGTTCTTGTTTTGACTCATGAACCTATCTGCAACAAGCTTAATTCTTTCTCTTAACACTTAGAGTTCTGTACATCACCATGTGGAAAACACACCACACAAAAAAAAAATTTACTGCATTTCTGTGTTTAATTCGAAAAAAATTCAAATTGGTGTAGTTTCAGTTTTGAGTGCAAAACAAATAACGAAGGAGAAAAGGATAATAAATATAATCCCATGCTTCTTGGGTCATATCATACATTACAAGAGTTATCTTCTACCAAACTCGAAATTTCCCTTCCTTTGTGAGATTTGGGAAGAAATTATTACAACCATTTTGTATTGAAATCATATTTTTAAGTAAGAAAACCTAGTAGCCATCCATAATGATCATGTATAAATCTAGATTTATCTATTAGGCATACTTAGATCTTATCAAATACATATCCATAAGATAAAGAAGTTTAATTACCCAAGCATGTAGACGCCATGTCATAAGCTTGGTCTTCACATCTTCACCCTATCAAGGGAAGCTAGAGGCCCGTGTATTTTTCTTCGCAAACTTTAGAGGGTTATTTCATACTTGCTTGATATTTGATAATGCAAAGTATTATCTATTAATAGGATCACATTTATTGAAGTGAATTTGTGTTAGAGTGAGAAATGAGACCAAAACCTTTGACTCCAAATTTTAATATGATTTATTAAATCTTCTATTATTGACTAAAATTTATTTCAACTTAATAACATTGTTATTAAATCACTCACAAAATAGTTAAATGATTGAAGATTTAATAGCTTAATTAAGTTAATATTAATCTCTTAATTTTCCGTCTCACACTTTCCATCAAAGAGTAGAGATCGGGTTTTAAGGTATTTGGATGCGAGGCTCATTATATTACATAGCTTATTCATCAAATCCTAAACTAACTTGTCCTGTAGGCCAACTAAAGTGGATTAAACTCCGTCGAATCCAACATTCTCCCACTTGGCCAAAAGGCATATTTAATTATTATATTATAGGATTTATCGGTCATATCAACACCGTTAATAATGATCATGTTTGTTAAAAAAATCTAAAAACAAACAGAAGTCAATTCTACAGCGATAGTTTTCATAAAGCCGTTCTCTAATCATATTATAGTAGTTTCGATAATGCATGTCTCATCCACTTCAAAGCATGAGCAAAGTCTTAAGTAACTGTGGAGAAATCAGAAAAACCAGATTTTCTGGCATAAGTCGACTCATGCACAAGGCTAAGTCGACTTATGGTAAGTCGACTTGTCAGTTGTGCACGAGTCGACTTACGATCTGCACTGGAGTTATGTTTTTTCGCTCTGCCAAGTCGACTTATCAGGCCTGATAAGTCGACTTATGAAGTGGTCTCCAGTTGCTGTTTTTTCTCTCTGCCAAGTTGACTTGTGGTGACTGTTAAGTCGACTTACGACGGGTATTTTGCATAATCAGGTTTCCTGTTTGCACTCTGATTGGGTTTTTGTTTTGATATAAATAGGGAAACGATTTGTTAGGGTTTTTAATCAGAGATTGAGGAATCTTTTGAGCATTGTGAGAGGGAGATATTGTGAGCAAGGTGAGAGGGTTAGTTTGAGGGTTAGTTTGAGAGTTTTGTAATCCTTTGTACTCTCATTGAATTAGTGAAATCTCCCCATCCTCTCCCCGTGGACGTAGGCAAGTTGCCGAACCACGTATATCTCTGTGTTTGGTTTGATTTGTCGTAATTGGCTTGGTTTGTGCAAGAGTGTGGCTTTCTTCTTCTGTGATCACAAGTTCGTTGTGTGTGCGTGCAACGCTTCCGCATAGGAGCGCGACAAGTGGTATCAGAGCTCAGATTTTAGATATGGGGTTTTGGATTAGGTGGAGGAAGATTCAGTTGGAAGCTTGGTTCTTGGAGTTCTAGGCTTTGGTGGAGTTAGGGTTTGAAGTTGTCGTTGAAGATCTCGCTTTCCTTGGAATCCAATCTAGGGTTCAGTTGGGTAATTTCTTATTCTTTCAAAGTTTGAATCTTTCTCTACAATTTAGAATTTGTGGTTATGGGTGAAGAAGTTGGTGAAAGTAGCAAGATGACAAGCACAGTTCAAGTGGGTTTTCAGAACACTAAGATTAGTGTAGTGAAATATGACGGTAAGATTAATTTTGGTTTGTGGATGAGCGACGTACAGGATGCGCTCAATGCTCAAAATCTGGAGGAGACCATCATGGTCGATGTGAGGCCACCTAAATATGAAGAGGTGATATGAGAAAAGATGAATCGAAATGCTTGTGGGGTGATCAGGTCCTGTTTGGAATAGGAGCTGAAATACGATGTGATTGGGGTGACGTCTGCAATGAAGATGTGGGAGATTTTCAACAACAAGTATCTCACGAAGAGTGTTGAGAACAGGTTGCACTTGCTGCGAAGATTATTCAGATTTCAGATGTCCAGAGGCACCTCGCTTGCGGCTCATGTGAACAACTACACTAAGTTGTTGTCGGACTTGGCGAACGTGGATGAGAAGATCACAGATGAGTACAAGGCTATTATTCTTTTGGGCTCCTTACCGGATGAGGAGTATGATACCTTCGTGCTCACTTTGTTGAACGGGAGATCTTCTATCAGCTATAGTGAAGTGACTAACGCTTTGACGAACTACGATTTGAGGAGGAAGAGTGGATGCTTGATTCTGGCGCTACTTATCATGTGACTCCTAGGCGAGATTGGTTTTCATCATTTGAGAGACTCGACGGGGGTGTTGTTGTCATGGGAAATGATCAATCCTGTGGCGTTCGTGGGATAGGTACTGTGAGGATTCGGATGCATGATGGAGAAGCCCGTAAGTTGAAAGAAGTGAGATTCGTTCCTCAACTTAAGAAGAATCTTATCTCAGTTGGGGCTTTGGAGGCGAAGGGATTCAGGGTGACCTTTGAGGATGCTGTAGCGAAGGTTACTAAAGGATCTTTGGTGGTGATGAAGGGAGTCCGCAGTCATAATTTATACTATCTGAAGGGGAGCACCGAGATTGGCCAGGTTGCTTCGGCTATTTCAGAGGCGGACATGAGCAGACTTTGGCATTACAGGTTAGGGCACACAGGAGAGAAGTCACTGCAGGCTTTGTGCAAGCAGGGGCTATTGAAGGGAGCCAAGAGTGGAAAGATTGAGTTCTGTGAGCACTGTGTTCTTGGCAAGAAGACGAAGGTGATGTTTGGGATGGCCATTCATAGGACGAGGGGCATCTTGGACTACGTGCACACAGATGTTTGGGGTCCCACCAAGATGGCATCACTTGGTAGTAGACATTGGTTCGTCACATTTGTTGATGACTATTCTAGGCGTTGTTGGGTGTACACCATGAAACATAAGAGTGAAGTCCTAGATTTGTTTGTGGAGTGGAAGAAGAGATTAGAACTGCAGACTGGAAGAAAGATCAAGACGTTGTGATCTGACAACGGCGGCGAGTATACTTCAGACCCCTTTCAGCAGCTATGTCGAGACGAGGGCATAGAGAGGCACTTCATAGTTAGTCATACACCGTAGCAGAATAGGGTGGCAGAGAGGTTAAATCGGTCTTTGCTGGAGAAGATTCGATGTTTATTGGCGCATAGTGGTTTGGAGAAGATCTTTTGGGCTGAGGCACTTTCTTATGCGAGCCACCTCATTAATAGGCTGCATTCATCTGCGATTGAGGGGAAGACCCCTATGGAGATGTGGTCGGGAGAGATAGCACATGACTATGACCAGCTTAAGGTATTTGGTTGCCCTGCATATTATCATGTTAGAACTGATAAGTTGGAACCTCGAGCTAGGAAGGCCATATTTGTAGGATTCAAGCGTGGTGTCAAGGGATACAAGCTTTGGGATCCAGTTGATAAGAAGATTGTGCTGAGTAGGGACGTCACATTCGATGAGGCTTCTATCTTGAAGCTTCCCAGCTCTCATCAGGTGGAGAGCAACCCGACAGAGGAGATTTCGCAGGTGGTGGAGATTGATGCAGCTCCACAGAGTCCAGATAGTGCAGTATCCATGAGAGTGCCGACTGAGGTGACGCCAGGCGAGCACGACGGTGATGCGGAGGATACGGGTACTCATGAGCAGGATCAGGGACCGACGGCTCAGGTTCAGGATTCTATTGCGGCACGGAGACAGAGGAGAGACATACAGGTGCCAGCACGGTATGCCGACACAGTTGCATATGCACTTCCGGTGGAGAGTATCGATGAGATGGTGCCTACTACATTCAGAGAGGCCGAGCAGAGTTCGGAGGCTGATTCGTGGC